ATGAGTATGCTGCTCCGGCATGGAACCCCCCCCCCCCTACCTAAAGAAACACAAAACAAAGGTCGAAAAGTTTCAAGCATATGTAACAAGGATGATTTCTTAACTAAAGGGACTGAGCTATGAAGAAAGACTGAGATAACTTGACCTCTACACTGGAAGAAAGAAGGAATAGGCGTGCAAAATTCCAAAGAAAATCTACAAATAGGTAGAAAAGCAATGTTGAAAGTGAGGAACAGTAGAACGAGTGTTCATGATTAGGAATTGGAGACAAACGAGACAGTACTACATCCAGCGTTTGGGATTCCCAGTTCACAAACCCGGGTTCAGTTCTCGGCCGAGGTAGAACAAATTATCGGAATTTCTTTCACTTGATGCCTGCGTTCACCTAGCAGTAAATAGGCACCTGGGAGTTAGCTGCTGCATCCTGGTGATGTATGTATGTGTGTGAGTGAGTGGAGGAAGGGGAGGGGGGAAGGCAGAGTGAGAAATATAGATAATAGATATGATAGACAAAACATAACTCAAGAGTCCGTACACTAGACAACCGATGGGTTAAAAATGTGGGATCCAAGAGGTGCCAGCTCGATCCTGCAGGCATAAAAAGAAGTAAATGTACAAACACACACACACACCCACACACACACCTTGAGGTTACCTTGAGATGATTTCGGGGCTTTAGTGTCCCCGCGGCCCGGTCCTCGACCAGGCCTCCACCCCCAGGAAGCAGCCCGTGACAGCTGACTAACACCCAGGTACCTATTTACTGCTAGGTAACAGGGGCTTTCAGGGTGAAAGAAACTTTGCCCATTTGTTTTTGCCTCGTGCGGGAATCGAACCCGCGCCACAGAATTACGAGTCCTGCGCGCTATCCACCAGGCTACGAGGCCCCCCACACACGGTGTGTGTGTGTATCCACACACACACACCTAACCGTTGTTGTGATGGGGGATCCGTAACACACTATTAGCGCCCGAGTCTCATCGCTCAAGATGAATTGTGAATTTCGTTCCTTTTTCAGGGTTTATGAGCGAGATTCATCACAGTGATTGATGGCCGCCCCTTGTAACGTCATTCATCAAGGGAAGGGGTAAGAGGGCGGGAGAGACGGATGGAAAGGTGTTATGGGAGGGGGGAGGTGAGGGATGGGCATGAGAGGAGGGGGATTGGTGAAGACGAAGAAGTGAAGGGCTTGTTAAATTCAGCTTTTTGGCATAATTTTACACCAAAGTAACTCTGGTCATTCTTGAATGGAATGGGGAAGAACAAGGGAAGAACGAGACTGGAAGAGAGGGGGGTAGTGAGAACAGAGAGAAGAAGAAAGGAAATAAAAAGAAGAGAGGGAGAGAAGGAGAGAGGTGCAGGGGAAGAGAAAGATGTTTAAAACCACCATTGTCGCAATATTTTTCGCGAGGCAAGACCAACTTGTGTCGTTCTTGAAGGAAATAAGGTGGGAATGGTACTGAGGAATATGTGGAGGGAAGGGGCAAGTCTGTGAGGGGGATTGGGGGTGGGGTAGAAGTCTGAGAAGGGGACGGGTGAGGAGAAATTCCTCAGGGTAAAGGAACATGGGGAAGGGGTTCCTCGGGGGTGAGGCAGCAGCGGAAGGGGAGGAAGAGGTATTGCGGGGTAAGGGAGTAAGGAGCGAGTCTCGCAGAATGAGGGAGAAGGGAGGACCTCCGTTTGGTCATGGAGCAGAGGGAACATGAGAGCATGGGGAGACCCAATGGGGTGGCGAACCTGGGGCGACACCCATGGAGTAAGGGAGCGTGGGGAAGACCCACACAGTCAGGGAGCATGGATGATAGGAGACCCTGGGGATGTTTGTACTGAACGCCAACATCCTGATGAGTTACTGGTGTAGGGACCAGTAACTCCCTACCTGGTTAGGGACCAGTCCCTAACAATGTGTAGAGAGGGTTGTTACAACCTTCATAGTAATGAGCATGTAGAGATGGTCTATGTCTTGTCGTTCTCACCGGACAGTAATGGCAATGTTGGAATGATCTACGGAGGCGATTCTGGCTTTAACACCTGTGGGCATGTTTATGGCCTTAACAGCAGCGGGAGTCTTCCTGGCTTTAGCAGCCATGGGAATATTCCTGACTTTAACAACAGTGGGGCTCAATCTAACAGTAACAGTACGGTAATGATCCTGATTTTAGCAACAGTGGAGTGTGGGGTTGGGGGGTGGGGGGTTGGCTTACGAACTTGACTGACAACCTTAGCACCAGTGGGAACATCCGGAGGAAGTTAAATAACGTATGTGTTTATTTTGTTGGTGAGTAAATTGTAAGGGAGAAAAGGTATCGAGGTGAGATGGGGATGGGAGGGAGGGGAGAGGAGGGGAAGGGGGCGGGGCTGGAGACGAGTGGAAGGTTGTTGTTGTTGTTGTTGTAGATTCAGCCACTGGGAACAAAAGTTCCAAGTAGCACGGGCTATGGTGAGCCCGTAGTGGACTTACCTGGCACGGGAGCGGTGCTGTGGTTGAGTGGAAGGTCTCCTTGAGGCTTCTGGTTCTCTTTAAAGGTCGCGGCCTTGGTCACCTCTGGATGTCTCTGTCCATAAGCGACCAGCATAGCTTTTAGATCAACACCAAATATTGCGCATTTAATGGGAATGATGTTGTGAGCTGTGGTGTTATGATGGCAGATGGTATGGTGGTAAGAACGGGTATTATAGGTAGAGGTGATGTTGTAATATGTGGCGGAATTATAGGAGGATGGGTTGTAGGAAGGGAGGGGGGAGAAGGGTTGTAGGTAAAAGTGGGCTTGTAAGGGATGAGGCGGCCAAGTCTACGACCCGAGGCCCGGCAGCTTAGTTTAGGTTAAAGTTTAGTTGAAGATATCCCTTTGTGAGGGATTATCAACGAGCACTCACGTCAGAACATGTCTGCTTCTTGTACCTCAGGTGTGTGTGGTGCTCTGAAGCTTTACTAACATTTCAGTTCTACAATACCAATCTATTACCACCGGGGTGATGTTTTATGGTGTAAAGCCCTGCGTCTGACAGCTCGTGTTGTGGCTCTATAAAGTAGATATGACGAGGCTCCATAAAGTGGATAAGACAAGGCACTACAGGCGAGGGCCCCTTTCTCCTGCATCGCCTCGGGCATTGTAAGGGTGATGCGTAGTGGCCCGTGAAGGCCTATGGGCCTCTACCTGTATGTAAAAGACCCATAGGAAAAGGGAATAATAGCTGTAATAAAAATTAATATAATATACATACAAAACCCTTTAAAAATTCTCCAACTCCATCTCTAGTTACTTGGGCTGGACGGTAGAGACACTGTCTCGTTTCATGCAGGTCGGCGTTCAATTCCCGGCTGTTCAAGTGGTTGGGCACAAGTCCTTTTCCCCGTCCCATCCCAAATCCTTATCCTGGTCGCTTGCAAGGGCTATATAGTCGTAATGACTTGACGCTTTCTCTGGATAGTTCCCCCCCTCGCCGAAGTTTAATTTAAACCTAAGTGTCTGGCTGCCTAGCCCACCCTGCACTTATATATGTCCTTGTTCATCCCTGTTATCCTTAATGTCTTCAAGCTTTCCTTTATTCTATTCCTTTAGTTTTGTCTTCGGGTGTCTCTCCCGGGCTCCGCTAAGATAGACACTAGACTGTCCTGCAGGTCAGACGCGGGTGTCTCTTCTAGACTGTCCTGGAGGTCAGAGTCGGGTGTCTCCAGGGCTCCTCTGAGACACTAGACTGTCCTGGAGGTCAGAGTCAGGTGTCTCCAGGGCTCCTCTGAGACAGACACTAGACTGTCCTGGAGGTCAGAGTCAGGTGTCTCTCGGGCTCCTCTGAGACAGACACTAGACTGTCCTGGAGGTCAGAGCCAGGTGTCTCCCCCGGGCTCCTCTGAGACAGACACTAGACTGTCCTGGAGGTCAGAGTCAGGTTTCTCTCGGGTTCCTCTGAGACAGACACTAGACTGTCCTGGAGGTCAGAGTCAGGTGTCTCTCGGGCTCCTCTAAGACAGACACTAGACTGTCCTGGAGGTCAGAGTCAGGTGTCTCTCGGGCTCCTCTAAGACAGACACTAGACTGTCCTGGAGGTCAGAGTCAGGTGTCTCTCGGGCTCCTCTGAGACAGACACTAGACTGTCCTGAAGGTCAGAGCCAGGTGTCTCTCCCGGGTTCCTCTGAGACAGACACTAGACTGTCCTGGAGGTCAGAGTCAGGTGTCTCCCCCGGGCTATTCTGAGACAGACACTAGACTGTCCTGGAGGTCAGAGTCAGGTGTCTCCCGGGTTCCTCTGAGACAGACACTAGACTGTCCTGAAGGTCAGAGCCAGGTGTCTCTCCCGGGTTCCTCTGAGACAGACACTAGACTGTCCTGGAGGTCAGAGTCAGGTGTCTCCCCCGGGCTATTCTGAGACAGACACTAGACTGTCCTGGAGGTCAGAGTCAGGTGTCTCCCGGGTTCCTCTGAGACAGACACTAGACTGTCCTGGAGGTCAGAGCCAGGTGTCTTCCGGGCTGCTCTAAGAGTGTGTAGGAACGTGCGGGAGCCTCGTCATATCCACTTTATGGAGCCACAACACGAGCTGTCAGACGCAGGGCTTTACACCATAAAACTTCACCCGGTGGTAATGGATTGGTATTTTGGGGTGGAGGATCTCGCCTAATGTTGACGAGATGGCCTCTCAAGACGCCTCAGTAAGAAGAAATAAAGGAATAACACGTTGATAAAAGCTATTGTTATGCTGATGATTCAAATAACTAATATTAACCAAAATAACATTGAATGGTCGTACCTATATTTACAATATCAGTTCCCACAGTGGTCGTTGGACTGTAATATGAATAGTTGGTTTTATGTAATATTGTACAATTTTATGATGCCATTTGTTTGATATTTTTTGGTGTGGAAGTATACGGAACCTTTATACACCATCTCGAGCCCTTATACACCATCTCAAGCCCTTATACACCATCTCGAGCCCTTATACACCATCTCGAGTCCTTATACACCATCTCGAGCCCTTATACACCATCTCGAGCCCTTATGCACCATCTCGAGCCCTTATACACCATCTCGAGCCCTTATACACCATCTCAAGCCCTTATACACTATCTCGAGCCCTTATACACCATCTCGAGCCCTTATACACCATCTCGAGCCCTTATACACCATCTCGAGCCCTTATACACCATCTCAAGCCCTTATACACTATCTCGAGCCCTTATACACCATCTCGAGCCCTTATACACCATCTCAAGCCCTTATACACCATCTCAAGCCCTTATACACCATCTCGAGCCCTTATACACCATCTCGAGCCCTTATACACCATCTCGAGCCCTTATACACCATCTCGAGCCCTTATACACCATCTCGAGCCCTTATACACCATCTCAAGCCCTTATACACCATCTCGAGCCCTTATACACCATCTCGAGCCCTTATACACCATCTCGAGCCCTTATACACCATCTCAAGCCCTTATACACCATCTCGAGCCCTTATACACCATCTCGAGCCCTTATACACCATCTCAAGCCCTTATACACCATCTCGAGCCCTTATACACCATCTCGAGCCCTTATACACCATCTCGAGCCCTTATACACCATCTCGAGCCCTTATACACCATCTCAAGCCCTTATACACCATCTCGAGCCCTTATACACCATCTCAAGCCCTTATACACCATCTCGAGCCCTTATACACCATCTCGAGCCCTTATACACCATCTCGAGCCCTTATACACCATCTCGAGCCCTTATACACCATCTCGAGCCCTTATACACCATCTCGAGCCCTTATACACTATCTCGAGCCCTTATACACCATCTCGAGCCCTTATACACCATCTCGAGCCCTTATACACCGTCTCGAGCCCTTATACACCATCTCGAGCCCTTAAACCACCATCTCGAGCCCTTATACACCATCTCCAGCCCTTATACACCATTTCGAGCCCTTATACACCATCTCGAGCCCTTATACACCATCTCGAGCCCTTATACACCATCTCGAGCCCTTATACACCATCTCGAGCCCTTATACACCATCTCCAGCCCTTATACACCATTTCGAGCCCTTATACACCATCTCCAGCCCTTATACACCATCTCAAGCCCTTATACACCATCTCGAGCCCTTATACACCATCTCAAGCCCTTATACACCATCTCGAGCCCTTATACACCATCTCAAGCCCTTATACACCATCTCGAGCCCTTATACACCATCTCGAGCCCTTATTCACCATCTCGAGCCCTTATACACCATCTCGAGCCCTTATACACCATCTCAAGCCCTTATACACCATCTCGAGCCCTTATACACCATCTCGAGCCCTTAAACACCATCTCGAGCCCTTATAAACCATCTCGAACCCTTAAACCCCCATCTCAAGCCTTTATACACCACCTCAAGCCCTTAAACACCATCTCGAGCCCTTAGGAGCCCTTATACACCATCTCGAACCCTTAAACCACCATCTCAAGCCCTTATACACCATCTCAAGCCCTTAAACACCATCTCGAGCCCTTAAACACCATCTCAAGCCCTTAAACACCATCTCGAGCCCTTAAACACCATCTCAAGCCCTTATACACCATCTCGAGCCTTTAGGAGCCCTTATACACCATCTTGAACCCTTAAACCTCCATCTCAAGCCCTTAAACACCATCTCAAGCCCTTATACACCATCTCAAGCAATAGGAGTGGACGTGCCTCTGTGATCGACCCTCTGGCTCGGCCTCACTTCAAATCTCCGGGGAAGAATACTGCATTACCATTCCTTCGCTGTGTAAAAAAAAAGCAATTTCGTTTTACAGGCAAATATCGTCTTGTCATAATATTTGATGGTAAGTTGTTCTCCAAGTTGTGGTAGAACCTTTTATAAGACAGCTTAGCGTTCCTGCACTCCTCCAAATTAGACGACATTTCTGTCCGATCTGCGTCGATACGCCGTCCTGGTTTCCATTTCTAATATGAAGGCTTATTGGGTGTGTGTTTCTGACACTGTCTTGTGGCTTTTACTCTCTGGGTTATATGTAGCGTCCTTTGTTGTGTCAGTGGTGCGTCACAGGATACGTAGCGTCTTCTGCTGTGTCAGTGGTGCGTCACAGGATACGTAGCGTCTTCTGCTGTGTCAGTGGTGCGTCACAGGATACGTAGCGTCTTCTGCTGTGACAGTGGTGCGTCACAGGATACGTAGCGTCTTCTGCTGTGTCAGTGGTGCGTCACAGGATACGTAGCGTCTTCTGCTGTGTCAGTGGTGCGTCACAGGATACGTAACGTCCTCTACTGTGTCAGTGGTGCGTCACAGGATACGTAACGTCCTCTACTGTGTCAGTGGTGCGTCACAGGATACGTAGCGTCTTCTGCTGTGTCAGTGGTGCGTCACAGGATACGTAGCGTCTTCTGCTGTGTCAGTGGTGCGTCACAGGATACGTAGCGTCTTCTGCTGTGTCAGTGGTGCGTCACAGGATACGTAGCGTCTTCTGCTGTGACAGTGGTGCGTCACAGGATACGTAGCGTCTTCTGCTGTGTCAGTGGTGCGTCACAGGATACGTAGCGTCTTCTGCTGTGTCAGTGGTGCGTCACAGGATACGTAGCGTCTTCTGCTGTGTCAGTGGTGCGTCACAGGATACGTAGCGTCTTCTGCTGTGTCAGTGGTGCGTCACAGGATACGTAACGTCCTCTACTGTGTCAGTGGTGCGTCACAGGATACGTAACGTCCTCTACTGTGTCAGTGGTGCGTCACAGGATACGTAGCGTCTTCTGCTGTGTCAGTGGTGCGTCACAGGATACGTAACGTCCTCTGGTTGTCAGTGGTGCGTCACAGGATACGTAGCGTCCTCTACTGTGTCAGTGGTGCGTCACAGGATACGTAACGTCCTCTGGTTGTCAGTGGTGCGTCACAGGATACGTAACGTCCTCTGGTTGTCAGTGGTGCGTCACAGGATACGTAGCGTCCTCTACTGTGTCAGTGGTGCGTCACAGGATATGTAACGTCCTCTACTGTGTCAGTGGTGCGTCACAGGATATGTAGCGTCCTCTACTGTGTCAGTGGTGCGTCACAGGATACGAGGCGTCCTGTTCTGTCCCAGGATACGTAGCGTCCTCTGTTGTGTCAGTGGTGCGTCACAGGATACGTAGCGTCCTCTGGTTGTCAGCGGTGCGTCCCAGGATACGTAGCGTCCTCTGGTTGTCAGTGGTGCGTCACAGGATACGTAGCGTCCTCTGGTTGTCAGTGGTGCGTCCCAGGATACGTAGCGTCCTCTGGTTGTCAGCGGTGCGTCCCAGGCATCCGTCCCCTGCCAGTGATCGGTCACAAGAGAAACGCCTGCTGACGGCGTCCCATTTTCTCATTTCCTGAGGTAGCGGCGCGCCATCTGGGAGCGCCACTTTCCCTGTGTCACAACTGTTGCATTTCAGCGCAGATGCTCAACTTGAGGCGTGTTTTGCAGCGGCCGTCGCGCCCGTCCTCACGTCTCGACAATGGTAAGCGAATTTCAAACGACGCGGGAATAGATAAACTAGCTAAAATGTTGGCTCAGACACCCCCTCCTCCTCCCCTCACTCTTGCCAAATCTCTGGAACTGGTGCTGGCTGTATTTTATTATTGGAGGAAATTTATAATGACGTGGGTAGAGATACATCAGTGGCAGCAGGAGGCGCGTCTGTCCCCAGCCTCGTGCCCAGTCTGGGGATTTACGGGCTTGCGATTTATCGTTGAATAACACTGTTATGCTCGACGCGATATAAGTTAGCAAGCGAGAAAGAAATCCGGGTACATTGCCAATTTCTGTTTTTTTTCTTTGTCCGGCGATATATCTGAGGGAATGTTCAACCTGGCAACGTTCTGTTCAAGACTGTTGTGAGTTGGGTCTTTGTTATGATACTGTTTAGTCCTGATTTGCACATTGTTGTAGCCTTTTCCCACATCGATATATTATTCATTGTCATTTACACCTCAACATTGGCTTTTATCTCTATATACCCCCTCGCAGAATTATATACAGTAGTAGTAGTAGTAACAGTATTAGGAGAGCCATGGAGAGCCAGGTGTTTCACACACCGTTGACATAACCAGTACTCTAGACCAGCGCACCACGCAGATCGTTAAAAAGAGGTTGAACTTTGGGGGTATTTACCCAACAATTCAACCTCCCAACGACGCCAGCGATGGTAACAGATCAGAGTTCAGTTTCATCAAATCAATCACATTTACTGGAAAAAACGCAAGCCTCAAGTACACCACCAAAAGTACTTAACCAGTTCTTGGTGTTTAACTATTACTTACGTGTTTCTGTAAGTTGATGTTTATATATATATATATATATATATATATATATATATATATATATATATATATATATATATATATATATATATATATATATGACATATGTCGTACCTAGTAGCCAGAACGCACTTCTCAGCCTACTATGCAAGGCCCAATTTGCCTAATAAGCCAAGTTTTCCTGAATTAAAATATTTTCTCAATTTGTTTTCTTATGAAATGATAAAGCTATCCATTTCATTATGTATGAGGTCAGTTTTTTTTAATGGGAGTTAAAATTAACGTAGATATATGACCGAACCTAACCAACCCTACCTAACCTAACCTAACCTATCTTTATAGGTTAGGTTAGGTTAGGTAGCCGAAAAAGTTAGGTTAGGTTAGGTAGGTTAGGTAGTCGAAAAACAATTCATGAAAACTTGGCTTATTAGGCAAATCGGGCCTTGCATAGTAGGCCGAGAAGTGCGTTCTGGCTACTACGTACGACATATATATATATATATATATATATATATATATATATATATATATATATATATATATATATATATATATATATATATATATATATATATATGGGTGGTAGGAGAGGAAAAGATTAAAGTATTCAGTGAGAATCCACAAGGTCTTCTCGGAACACTATTTATTTTCTTCTTCGAGGATGTGGGTCCCTTTAATTAAACCAGTGGTAGTACCCCTATATATATATATATATATATATATATATATATATATATATATATATATATATATATATATATATATATATATATATCTTAACCTAACCTAAACTAACATAACTAAGTCAACAATTTATGTTCTTAATCATATATATATATATATATATATATATATATATATATATATATATATATATATATATATATATATATATATATATATAAAAACATACATACGACATATATATACACACACACACACACACACACACACACACACACACACACACACACACACACACACACACACACACACACACACACACACATACACAGGGGCCTCGTAGCCTGGTGGATAGCGCGCAGGATTCGTAATTCTGTGGCGCGGGTTCGATTCCCGCACGAGGCAGAAACAAATGGGCAAAGTTTCTTTCACCCTGAATGCCCCTGTTACCTAGCAGTAAATAGGTACCTGGGAGTTAGTCAACTGTCACGGGCTGCTTCCTGGGGTGTGTGTGTGGTGTGGGGGGAAAAAAAGAAAAAAAGTAGTTAGTAAACAGTTGATTGACAGTTGAGAGGCGGGCCGAAAGAGCAAAGCTCAACCCCCGTAAAAACACAACTAGTAAACACAACTAGTAAACACAACTAGTAAACACACTATATATATATATATAATCCCAGCCTGAATGTTGGTAACTGGGTGATTATTTGACTCCTTGCAGCGTCGCCCGAAGGAAAACTTGCCTATATCTGTTTTCCAGATTTTGATTCTTATGACGCGCGTCAGAGGCGAGAGGTCATAGAAAGACAGGGCGTCAGAGAGACTGGCGTCGACGTAGACACTGAGACATGGAAAATGTCTCGTGTATTACGAAAGCTCTTAAAACCAAACGTTTATACACCAGCTAATATGATGCGGCCTAGTCTATCCTGGCTGACCTCATTCTCACACTTCCTTCATGTCATCACTATTATCCCGACTCCACCTTCAGCTTCCCCAGCACATGTCATCACCATCCGCCTCCCTGAGCCTGTCATCACCATCATACCCCACCCTCCCAGCACATGTCATCACCATCCGCCTCCCTGCGCCTGTCATCACCATCATACCCCCCCCAGCACATGTCATCACCATCCGCCTCCCTGCGCCTGTCATCACCATCAACCCCACCCCCCCCAGCACATGTCATCACCATCCGCCTCCCTGCGCCTGTCATCACCACCATCAACCCCACCCCCCCAGCACATGTCATCACCATCCGCCTCCCTGAGCCTGTCATCACCATCAAACCCCCCCCCCCCAGCACATGTCATCACCATCCGCCTCCCTGAGCCTGTCATCACCATCAAACCCCCACCCCCCCCAGCACATGTCATCACCATCAAACCCCCCCCCAGCACATGTCATTACCATCCGCCTCCCTGAGCCTGTCATTACCATCAAACCCCCACCCCCCCAGCACATGTCA